ATATATATATATATATATATATATATATATATACATTTATCTTCTTAAACACTTTTCATAAATCTAATAAATAATACTTGTGAAAAGTCGTTTATCAGTACAACAAATAAAACAAAGTAATATCTGTTCATTTCGGTCATAAAATGTATATTTCGATGTGAAGTTGGATGCAAAATAAATTTGATTCAGAATATATGTAATATTTTTATTTTACTTTCGAGTTTTTTCAATTTATGTTTTATTAATGTTCTATAAATTGTTTTTATTTTTGGTATCGCCTTTTTAAAAACGCAGAAACATAAATATATTACATTTTCCAATCATTTGTATATCAATCTGCATGTCACTCCTTTACGAACTGTCGGAAAATGAGTCACATATACTTTACACAGTCTAATAAAGAGTTAAAAAATAAAAAATTTAGTTTTTCTTAGAATAAAGGGATTAAGTATATAACAAAAGTAATAAATTATTTTCCGTACCTTTACACTTCTCAATAGGCAACGTTGTTATTAACTAATATCTTAACCTTATCGTACAGCTACACACATTATGCTTTCACACATTCTTACATGTAAAGTACCTTATCCCCATGGCGCGTATTTAACAATATGCCTAAATGATAACAACCAATCGAGAATCAACTTAGTATTTCTGTTATATTGTACAATAAAAAGTCTGATCTTTTATTGGTTAGCTTTAGGAAGTTATTGATTACGCTTTACGCGAATTTAACAAAATACGCGCCATGGGAATTAGGTATTGAATGTCGACTTGCAAAATGGCGTAACTTCTAGTAAATTATTATATTACGCAGGTTATGCTTACGCAAGTTACACTGCATGAGGAGACACCCTGAGCAACCGTGATTATCTTACGCGAAGGATTTTATCGTTACTACTGCGAAAATGCGTCTAACGAACGTAGTAAAGGCACACTTTGTTAGATGGCGTCTCGAAAATGCGCCTAGCTCTAGCTGCTAAAATTAAGCTGGTGCCGCTCTCAGGCTTCTCTCTGCTACTAGAGAAATACGTGTCAATAGACTAGCGATGGCGCGGTCATCTCTACACCATTCTGCATTTAAAAAAGGTTTTATTTATGCAACCTATGGACTTGTGAATATTTTTAGTATCTCAATGTTTTTATCTTGATTGTAGCGTATTTCCGATGTAAGTAAACGGAACAAAGCTTACGCATTGTGGACATGAAATCTCGTGTGAATATGAAATTCAATTTTTAATAGTACTTTTAATAAAACAGTGAGTGCATAAGCTACCGAATATCCGAGTGACATAACCTCTTTTCGTAAAGAGAGACACAGTGAGATATGCGGGCCGTCAGAAGTATTCACGTATAAAAGTGATATCAGTGACTGATAATCGATTTCAATCCGGCGAATGATGTCAACGATCGAGAACTTTCATGTTACGAAGTGACAATTGATTACACGTGTGCTACGAACGTTAGCAATTATCCCGGTGATATTCATTTAAGGACTCACGTTCAGCGCACATTCGTTAAGTACGTCGTTTGTACACGCGAAAAAATAATACAGTGCGGTGTGTAACATTTCGACGATAACGCTTAATAAAATGAGTTCCGCGATGATCCAAAGGTTCGCGATATCGTGTTGCGGAAGGCGCATGATTGATATCGACGTGTGCAGAAGAATCGCATCGAGTTGGCATTTTACGCAAAGGAAGCTGTCGCCGACGCAGCACGTGAAATCGCTCGCACATCACGCATATACAATTCACACAAGACTTTATCACGGTACTCTGTCGCTCTACACGAACAACCTGAACCAAAATGAGAACATCGTGAAAGATATATCCACCTTGCAAATCAAGAAACGACCGCCCAGGAAGAACAGAACTGCGATAAGAGACGATAAAAATTCGAAGAATGACGTAAGTTTATTTCTGTAAGAACAAAAACTAGTTTTTATGCTAGACAGAACTCGTTATAATAAACAGAAAGTTGTGTTCAAAACAAATAAAAAGACAAAAAGAAGCTAGTCACATCTTAACCAGCAATAACAAAAACACGCGAAAATAGCTTGAAACCAAACAGTAATGGTGTTGTAATCTTTATTAACGATTAAGATAAATTTTCCAGTTGAATCTAGAAGATTCAGAGAGACTGTTGTTTAGAAACTTATAAAAGGTAACTCAAGGATCTGTTTGCTTTTTTGTGCAGTAGCTAGAATTCCTGGTAATTTTTTTGTCTTCCTTCTGAATTTATCAATTCAAAATGCTGAAGATTCAACATTTAAATGCAATTTTCAACATTCTGCTTGTTTACATATTACACATTATCAAAGCGGCATACATTGCATCGCATTGCAATAATTGTAAGATGTTTATTTTTCTGGTAGAAATGTATGCAGTTTGCATAGACTCTGCTCAGTTATTGTCAGTATTTTAATGCATTCTTGCTGGTTGTAAAAGTACTGCATAGAAACTGTACAAGAACTTGATAAAGTTTTATTCGGTGATTGTAGCAATTTACTGTGTAATAAGTGGACTGACTTTTTTCAAGATACATTATAGTATCATACAGTATTATAGAGTACAGCCTAATAATGTGCAATATGTTATAGAAAAAGAAAATGAAAGGAAAAGCATTTGACAAATACACACTAAATTTTCATTAAGATTTCGCGTTTTATGCGTAATCACTCGTCAGTGTTTCGTGATCGCATAATAAGGAACATGGTATTGTTAGTCAATCAGTGATATTTTTATGTTATCATCACGTCTAGAACATTACTCCGTGCTCGTCGCAAATAAACGCGTGTGTTACAAAAAGATATTTCTTCCATCAGGCATGGAACGTGAAAGCTCTAGTGACTGCGGAGGAATACAATCTGGAAAATTTAGCCGATGGTCTCCTGAATCAGCAGTTGTACATTCCCAGCAAAATATCCATGTCCACTAACTGTAAGTAGTGTCGGTTTCGCGAAAAACATATTTTACGAAATCGCGTAAAACACATTTCGCGTGTCATTCCGACATCGATGACGCAAATCACCGGCAGATCTGCCGTTTCTCGAAACACGAGCGCACTCGAGTGTCATCGGGTATATCTCGTCTTAGGAATGCCGATTGGTCGGTTCCTTTGATTCGTCAGCTGTTCGCGCTCATATAAAGAGCCACAGACACCGCTCGCAGTCATCAGTCGTTGGCCGATGCGCGTCTGCTGTCTCTTTTTTCTTTTTCTTTTAATTTATGTGGGAATCGCGCGTGGTGAATCGTTGTCGAGCATTGTCGTAGGAAATCTTTCCTCTAAGAAATCGATCCAAGGCATTGTTTTGATAAGTATATTATTCCGCGAGGTTAACTTGCGCGTTAAAGTGACACAATAATCCGGCAATTTAGTCAAACTTGAGTGACTGTTGCGACTTTATTCGACAGTTATTTCGAGAGTATTCCGAGGAGTATCTGGTCTCTGTGAATGTTGTTTACGAGATTACGTGCATTAGATCTCTGGAATTATTGTCAATTAGTATGATAATAAGAAGTCGCTTGTTTTCGTGAATTATTTCACACAAGTAACGTATCCCGCGTTAACACTTTGCGCTCTTCTTCAACTTGGAAATACAAAGAGAAGACATCAGTGTAAAGAGAAGAAGCAAGTAAAGACTGGCGTGCAAAGTTCGACCCGCAAGGAGTGAATAATTTGAAGAGAGAAAGAGAGAGAAAGAAAGTGAGGATGTACGGGGACAATCAAGCGATGATGAAGATGCCGATCGCGCTCAACTTATCGAGAAAAGAATTTGACGAACTGGTCGATAAGGCGAAGGATTGGGCGCTCATGAACGGAATGTGTTTTCGGTCGAAAACCAACTTTAACCGGGACCTCCTGCAGTTCGCGCCGTTCACGGTTCTGCCGTCGCCGTTTCCGCGAAAAGAATTCCATAACGCCTGCGACATTCAGATCATTCTGAACACTTTCATACATAGAGTGGCACACGACTACGACTTCCTGAAGGAGACTCTGTGGGAGACCGTGAAGGCCGACGACTTCACCAGGAACTTGTTCGACATCTACGAGACCGTTCATAGAGAAGGGGCCGCGCAGAAGCTGTCGCTCGCTATCCTGCGTTCGGATTTGATGCTGGACACCAGTTGTCCCAAGAAGGACGTCGAAAAACTCAAACTATATTGCTGCTGGAAGCAAGTGGAAATCAACACAATCGCCTCCGGATTCGGCTGGATGGGGTCCGTATCCACGCAGCTGCATCGGTTCATCTTGCAGGAGCTCGGCTATACGGACGAACTGAAGAATCTGCCGGAGAACAATGCGTTGGAAACGCTGTGCTCAGGCATGATAGAGGCCTGGAGCTTATACGGCGATCCGAAGTATGTGTGTTCATAGAATCCTTCATATATTTGAATTGTCGTTGTATCGTTGTTCATAGTACTTTCTAAATTCATTTTTACAAGATTAGATATTAACAAGATTTATTAGATATTAACAAGATTAGATATTTCTAGCACTCGGTTTTCGTAGACGTTCTAATCGTTTTAAATTTCTTGGAATGGTATCTCACTCAAAAAGAATAAAAATACACTCGAAGTATATTGAAAATATTGCCGGAAAATAGCGGATGTTGAAAGTACTTGGAATCATAGAAAGTTGAGTCTTGTGTTAATAGTCCTTACTTGAAACTTGTCTCAATTGAGATCATTAAATTTAGATTTAAAGTTAGACGTGATTTTCTTAGTTAAATTGCAATTAAAAATATAATGTTACAAGTATCATATAACTCATATAACAAACTCAGATCTAATTTTAAATTCAGATTCGAGAAGTTTCAAGTAATAATTAGTAATACAGGTTTGAATATTTCATTTAAGCTTATATATAGAGTGGATTCACTTAAGATTTAATTTGAGCGAATGTTTTAATCGATTAGTATCGTTGTTAAATTAACTGCATATTTTAATGTGTACTTCCGATATATTAAATGTCCACATTTTAATGTGTACTGCATATTTTAAGGCGTAATCAGAAACATACGACGCTTTGCAGGAGTGTTATCTTATTTGTCGTTGAGGACGTCACGTATAACATCTGCGACCAGCGTTTTCACGAATTCGAGATACGCAGGCAAAATCCGAAAGTAAGGGTGATCCGCAGGAATTTGACGCAACTGGCGGCGACTGCAAGACTGGGTGCTGACATGGAATTAATAGTGGACGACTACGTTGTGTCTGTGGTCTATTACAGATCCGGCTATGAGCCCGGTCAGTATCACACCCGGAAAGAATGGGACGCGAGACTGTTGATCGAGAGATCGTTGGCAATAAAGTGTCCGAGCATTCAGTACCACTTGGCCGGCACGAAGAAGGTTCAGCAAACTTTGGCGAAGCCCAGCGTGATCGCGCATTTCTTGAAGGATGAGAAGACGGCGGCGAAAGTTAAGGAGATATTCACTGGTGCGTAACCGTCCTCTTGTGCATTTAAGCATCAAAGCATTTGTTCAATCGACTTCAAAGATTACTTTATGAACATATTCTTTTATCTCGACGAGTTCTGGGCACGTCATTAATCGAGATGACCGCGCCGAGGGACCAAGAGCCTTAACCCTTTGGGGACGGAGCCGCTCGACGGGCTATAAGGAAGATAAGACTTCATCGCTAATGGCCCCTAATGTCTTTGAGTGAAAACGTGACTCTTTTACTATACCTATGCGTATCTTATCGCTCAGAACGACAGACGTCGCGAGCCTTGCAGCTACGAACTAATTTGGGCGGCTATATGCCGACACGCGTCCGGAACGGTAAAACGGCTTGGGCGGCTATATGCCGACACTCGTCCCCAAAGGGTTAATAATTATAAATTATCGTCGAATATTATAGGTTATAGTCACGATAACGTACATTCTAATTTTAATCGTTTTAACTCTTAATAACGTTTATAATAATTGTCTAAGATTCAGTTACGAGGAAAAGTACGATTATTCTCGTTTCAGGCCTCTACCCGCTGGACTTCGACGAACAAGGTAACGCCGCCGTAGAAATGGGCATCTCGGAGCCGCAACGGTTTGTGTTGAAACCGCAGAGAGAAGGCGGTTGCAACAATATATACGGCACGGACATTCGCGATTTTCTGCAGTCAGTAAAATCCAAGCAAGCTCGAGTAGCCTGGATTCTTATGGATCGGCTTCATCCGCCAGTGCACAAAAACTACGTGGTGAAACCTGGAAAGAGCGCAGAATATGAAACAAAAGAACTAACCTCGGAATTGGGCATATTTGGCGTAGTTATCGGTAGCGATAAAGAGATTATTGTCAACAAACAGGGCGGTTATATGTTAAGAACAAAATCAGTTACCGATAACGAAGGGGGCGTGGCGTCAGGCCTAGGTGTTTGCGATAGTCCGTTTCTAATTGACTGAGTCACGAATAAAGACGAAAGATCTATTACACATCCAATCACACACAATTATGGCAATTGCATATATTGTATTGCCGCGCAGCCACGCCATAACATTCCTTCCTAAAGCAATACTCTATCACTATAACGAATGTTCCAACAATGTTCTTAGACAATTATTATAAACGTTATTTTTATGAATTTATATTTTGTACATTTATATACATGCAAATCCTGGAATTATAAATGCATTTATCTACAAATCTTTATTACTGGCCTTGTGAATCGACCTGTCACTTTCCATTTCCATTACAAGTTGCGGAATCGGATCGATGTTGCAAAGTGTTGCGAATTATTCTTTCTTTTGCTGTTTGCAGCTTTGCCCGATGTCATACACGCGGTGGCCAAGTACGAAGTAGGACACGAGCCTCGAGAGATCTTTTTCTTCCGAGAAGGTAGCATTGTTATGTGGAATATATCCGATCTCGAATGCGGAAACCTATTGCAATTTTTGAGACAATATGAGCACAATCGTTACACGGAAGAGCTGATTCATACCGAGAGCGAGTTAATGACTTATACTTATGTGGATTTTGGGTATTTCTTCTTTTTTTATCAGTTTCTCTCACACATATGTCTCATGACCTTGTGTTATCGATTATGAAAACAGCAAACAGCTGTCCCGCGAAAATGAATTCAATAATAACCGGAATCCGATAAACAATGTATACAGGAGGAAGAGTCACCTGAAAGATGGTGATATTATTCTGACAAGAGAGACTGGCAACTTGGACAAGTACACGTTCTCGAATGCCATGGCGCAGTCCGTCAAGCTAGGTATATGGGAGGTATCGTTAAACCACTACATCGACTCGATCGAGTTCGTGACGGAGGACTTGAAGGCCGGTAGGAAGCTTCGAATGACGCAGTCGGAAGTATTGAGGAAGCAGGGCGAACTGTTCAATCTGCGTCACCGTATCAACCTGAGCTCGGATCTCTTGGATACGCCTGATTTTTACTGGGAGCGTGACGACCTAGAGGGTCTCTATCAGCAAATCTGCGGTTACTTCAGCATCACGAAGCGTACGAGAGTAGGTGCCATTTAGTAACCATGCTCTACACGATGTCTCCACGGTATAATACATTCTCTTATTTACACAGGTGATGAACGAGAGGTTGAATCATTGCGTAGAACTAGTAAGCATCCTATCGTCGCACCTGAGCGATCGTCATCATGTCCGTTTGGAGTGGATGATTATTATACTTATCATGGTGGAGGTTGCTTTCGAAATCTTACACTACATCGATCGATATCTCGTGAAGTAGCGGCCTAACAACGAAGGCAACGCTTTGCTTACATTTGTACGAGATGCGAATTACACATAGATTATATAAATAGAATGCTATATACCACATGTATTATATTTTGCAAATATATATTTCAATCTATGAATATCGAGCTCATAAATTTTATAACTTGTAATGATATCGCGATATCAATAGATTAATTCAATATTTCATATTTAATAATGTGAAACTTTCCGTTCGCGAGGAAAGTTGAAATAACGCTCGATGTAAGATATAACTATTTTTCGAAGTGAAACAAGATTCCGACAATTTGGGACGATGTTAATATCTAATTTACATAACAATACGATCGTTAAGGTATCAATTCGGCTATCTTTGGCGGTATCACGAACTCATGTGGATTTTGTTCGAGCATGCAACCGATTAAACGCGGGACCGAAAGAACGGTGCCGGTTAGCGCCGCGGGGAAGCTTCCGCCGCTCGGAGTTTGATAGTTGATAAGTAGTCGCTTGCTAAAGTAATCGCCACATGCGGACAAATGGCCTACCTCGATGTACTGTTTTGCGAACGGCGACCATACCTCAAATGACACGCGCAGACTTTCCCACGTGTTCAACTGCGGCGCGGATTTCATTACGACGCGATAATGATCGATGCATAAGTCATCGTACAGCTGGCACACTTTATCCACGAGTTCGTCAAAAAGTATCCTGTAATCATCATCCTTCCCATCCTTCACCATTACGAACACATGGGCCACGGAAGCCTGACATGTCGTGAACAGGCCGCAGGGTGGCGAGTTAGCCGGCAGAGGCGTGTACTGCCTGCCCGTGGCAAAGTACTTGAGCGGGAAGTTGTTGGGATTGATCAGTTGCTTTGTGTGCAACGTCAAGAAAGAGGTCAAACTAGCGCCTCCAGTCAAATGCATGCGATTCGATGAGCCTCTCTCGACCTCATCGTGATTCTCTATCAGAAAAGCTGTCATTGGGTCTTCGTGGTCCAAGCCTGAGCCCTCTACTACGAGACTGCGACTGAAGTCTGCGCCAGACATCCTCAGCATGTTGTTGCCGTCACCTAAGACACGACTAGCGTGTGCCAGAACACCGAGCTCAAACAAAGCTGCTTTATTGCATAAATAATAAAGCATGGGATTCTCGTACTTGAGGAGACCGAGCCTTGTACCGATCTCGATGTGAGTCCTGCCGTCTGCTTCGGACGAATCTGGTGCGTTACCGACGTTCCTCAATACTATCGACTCCACAGTAGGCGTTCGTGGATCTAAGTTGTTCGGCAACTTCAAAATCTTTTGTACGACATTATCATCCAACTCCCAGATCGCCTGCTTCATCGTCTTGATGTCCTGCTTAATGACTTGTTGCTGCATTTGCAATTTGTTAAATTCCTGTTCTATTTCTGGAGTATGCACGCCGCTTTTGATCAGTTGCTTTTTGCTATCCTTAATCTCTTTAAGGTGGTCTTCCAACATACGTAAGTCCGTGTTCATTTTGCGATAGAATTCCCACAAATCCCTCAGCTGGACTACGTTTACCTCCATACGGCGTAATGTAATTTCCTCTTGTAGCTTCTCGATATCGGCAAAGCGCTCGTCGACGTCCAAATGTGGCGTGAGATATGCGAAGACTTTGTGGGCTATTTTGCCGGAGATGAACAGCGCCGAGCTATAATGTCTCTCGCAACACGATACGATAATGGCTTTCCGACGAATATGACTCAATGAAGATTTCGCGAGATTATGAAGTCGCAAACAGCGCGTAAATTTGACCAGGGCATGCATTATTGTGTTCTCACCTCAAGCCAATTCTGCAATATACCGACACGAAAGTATCAATGTTCGCAAACGCGATAAATACACTTTATTCGTTTAATTTTATTGTCTTAGGATCGGGCTCAGGTTCCGCGTCGATTTTATTAAGGCTGTCCTTTGTCACAGTCTCGATCTTTCGCTTCTGCGGTGCAATATAATTCCCTTTGCCCGCAGCTCTTTCTGATTCTTCAATGCTGTATGGTTCTAACTCGAGTGCCTTCAATCGTCGTTTATGCACCTTGGTATTAAAGTGCGTTTTGAGTGCGGTTTCGTTTATGAAGTATCTCCTGGAATTCAGTTATTTTATATAAATGTGTTTTTTATATTGCATATTATATATGTATAGTTAAGTTGCATTTTAGTTAAATTGCAAGTTATATTGCATATTATATATGTTATAGTTAAAAACTGATGTAGCCAATTTACAAGATATCTAAATTTAGGTTTAAGTAATCACATAAAATGATCATTTCAAACTTTCACTAATTAAGATAAAAATGCAAATGTTTGGGTCATACCTAAATTTGGACATTCTTTTTGTTCTGATTTTTAAACATAAATATTGAAAAACTTGCGATATAAAATATGTTTATATGTATTCGTTCTAGTATATTCATTTTGGTCTCTTTAAACACAACTTTTAACATACAGAATGTATGTATATATTCAATATATGGATATATTCCAGATTGAAAAACTTAAATATTCATGCTTAAAAATCAAAATAATAAGAATCTCCAGAGTTAGATGTGTTCACACATTGCTTACATTCAATACAGAATGTTGCTCAATAAATTCAATGATTATTGTTCACGACTGATACATCTTCTTTTGTAACCATTAAGAATTTAAAAGAATATTGCAGCCACAAACAATAATCATTAGATCTATTCGTGTTGTTTGTATTTTTGATACTTTTATATCTAATGCTTGCTGTACACTAGCCTCTCTTTAGAAAGAAAAACTCATTGAATATCGCTCATTACATCTGGTATACAGAGGGTATTAAGTGTCAAAAGTACAAGCAACGCGAACAAATCTATTAAGGTCTCACTGAATTACTTTCTTTGCTAAACACAGTCATTGGTACTTTTATCTTGTTTCTAGAAAATTCTAGAACTGACTTTTCCAACCTTTTTTGATCATGGAAAGATTGAAGTTTAAAACATTGCAAAGTTGTATATCTTTATTTTTTTAACACAAATTTTAAAGTTCTTAACATTAAATATACATAACAGATGCGATTATTATGATACAATTTTAGCAAGAGATTAGGTTAAGTTATAACGTCGCAACGAAACTTACGCGCAATGTACGCAGTAATGTTGCGCCGATCCCGGCTTGTCAAAATCCACTTCTTGATTCAATAACTGCTCAATATTCTGTTCCTTCAAGTCCTCATCGATCTAAAATCAGGATCACATTACACGAAAACCGACAATCGTAAAGGCCTAAGTATACGTCGTGCCGGCCGCATGTCGAGTTAGGTTAGATTAGATCAGTCAGTGAGCTACGCACCTCGTCAAGATCCTTCTTTCTCCGTTTCGTTCGCCAGCCTTTCTTTAAGTGCGTATCGCCCCTGTGTTGCTTTTTACGTTTATATACCATAGCAAGGTTCGTGCGTCATGAACTGAATTAAATATGTTGTAAAATCACGCTGGGACGTGAGCGAAGTTGACTGCGAGAAATGGTAAGGAACAAGAGATACGAAGTATAGGTTAACTCGCGTTGCGCACGTGGATAACTCGGACGTGTTCCTTTTCACGCAAACTATACGACAAAGCATTGGGCCTCAAACCTCTTCTTTCCGTTTCACGGCAAGCTGTCGCGCTCGGTCGCCAACAGATGCCGGCAGCGTGTCGCGTCGTTGGCGGCCCCTGCCGACGTGTGGCGAGAGCGCTGGCAGGCCACGGGGCGAGGGGGTGCTCATCCATTTTGAAAGTAAAAATACTGTGCGATCCGGGATTTTCGTCGGTACGGTGCGAGGCAGGCCGAGGGGTAAAAAAGCCGTGAGAGACACGCCGTGCGGTCGGGCCTCTCTACGCGGAGTGCCGCGCGTAAAATGACGTAGAGCGTTCACGTCGTCGGGCGTCGCGCGCGCGCTGCCGACGTGTGGTGAGCGGAAACGGTGCGCGGTGTACCGTCGCGGCGCGTCCGTAGCGATCGGCGGTAGCGTACGGGAAATTGGCCGCGGTGGCTTCGCCAATGGATGCCAGGCAGCCAGCAGCAGGGACGCCATTTTGATATACGGGCGCACGTCAAGCGCTTCGCCTCGCAGTGAAACGCGCTCCTGAGTCGCTCTCCGCCGGCTGCGTAGGACCCGCGCGGCCGAATTCGGACGTTCGCGAGCTAGCCGGGCATCGCGACGCGGCTGGTGCGTGGTGCGTGGCGCAGCGTATCCCGCGAGTTTCGTTGACAAGTGACAGGTGAATCGATCGGGGGCCTATACGAGGAGAGTGCGAGAGAAGGAAGGAAGGCAGGCGGCAAGCAGGCAGGCAGGCAGGCAGGCAGACAAGCAAGTAAGCAAGCAAGCAAGCAAGCAGAGCAAGCAAGCAAGCAAGCAGCCAGGCAGGCAAGCAAGCTCTCTCTCTCACCGTCCGTCGCCGTCGTGCCGTTCGTCGCGTTTTGAGGCTCAGCGCGCGCGACAGAGAACCGAGAGCGGAGCGGAGCGGAGTCGACGCGAGTCGAGTCGAATCGAGACGAGACGAAACGAAACGAGACGAGGCGAGTTCGAGCGTTATCGTTTACCGTGCTGTGCCGTGCTGTGCCGTGTGCTGTCTCGGTACTGTGCTGTACTTGTGCTGTAGTCGTAGCGCGCGTCCCCGCGTAAAACACGAGTCGCGCTCTCGCTCGCCCGCTGCTGACTATCTCGGCGCATTCGAATTTTTCGTGCACGCGGCGCGAGAGAGCTCCGGGGAGAGCGCGCTCGGGCCACCGAGAGAGCGTATACGTCGTTACGCGGCGAGAGCAGGCGATCCGGGGGCGGCAGGGAAAAGCTGCCGCCGTCGTCTCGTTTCGCGCGCGAGAGAGCGAGTGAACGCGCGCGCGAGAGAGAGTGAGAGAAGAAGAGAGTCAGAGAGAAAGAACGTGCTAGAAGAAAGAAAGAGAGAGAGAAAGAGACAGACAGATAGAAAGAGAGAGAGAGAGAGAGAAAAAGAGCAACGAAGAGGCCACCAGCCGACTTCGGAGCAGGACAAGGCGACCCGATGTTGGGAGCGGGTCGCGACCCCGTGTCGACCCGCGGTCGTCCTCGTCCTCGCGCGTCGTGCATCGTAGGAGCAGCGACATTAGCAACGGCAGGACTCTATTCGCGTAAATGTGCCCCCGTGCGCGCCCATGTGCACCTCCTTCTGCTTCTCTGCCCGCTGCCCCTGCGTGCCCTGTAAACCCAGAGCACACCCCGATTAGCACGCCCGCCGCGCGCACTCGTTACCCGCGAACATGGCCAAGATCCTCAACAAGGACCCCGTCACCTACGAGAGGGAGAGGGAGAACTTCCTGAAGGACCTGCGACACTTCCACGAAACCCGAGGGTAAGCGAATCCGCTCTTTCAGTTTCTGCTTCCGGTGGCGTGCCGTGTAAATCGCTCGTGTATACGCGCGAAGCGTCGTCTCGTCGTCGCGCCAGCGACACCTCTCCCCTCCCCACTTTCCTTCCCGCCGCGTATACGCTTATCTCGAACTTAGATCGCACACTTTTCCCCTCCGTCGTCCCTTCAACGATCCCGATCGCTCCGGCGATTGACGCTCAGACGCCGCAGTGACACGCGAGCGGATCGGGTTGTCGCTCGGGCGAGTGAGAGTTGAGGTTATGTTGCACCAATCTTCGTTCTCGTCGTCGCGTCGTGCTCGTGAACAACGCTTGTGTCGTGTATCCCGGTTTATCGCGCATTCCTGTGTATCCTACAGCGCGATGATATCGAACATACGTGATTACGAGAAAGGTATTTCCCACGATTTTGATGTACGTATGTGTCTGTGTACGTGCGTGCGTGCGTGTATTAATGTCAATACATCCGAAACTCGCACAGCCACGTAACGTAAATACGTTACTTGCCAATGAGCGTCCTCGTTATTCGTCGAGCGTTCCGATTTCGTCTCCGGCATTATATTACGATCGCATAAACGGCAGTATTTACGATATATATGCGACGTGAGAAAACGAAGACGACGAGTGTGTGTGTATGTATGCGTATGTTATACGAGATGTTTCATAAGGCACACATGAAAATTCCGATCCCACGGAAATTTGGTCGGACGCCATTTTTTGAGTCTTTTGAACGTGACGTGTCGACGATGAGATTGATGGAATTTTCCGATCGGCGAGCAACACATAACGTCAGAAAGATGCTACGAATAATTGTACACAATCCGAGGTTTAAATAGTTTTGACAAAACTCTTATCAAAACGAAATCCCCGACGAATTATGCACAATGTGTGTGTACACACACTTGTGGTTTCATTGACTGGTTATTTTTTATAAATTTAGAATCCATCCTTCTTGTCAAATGAGAGAATTCTTTTATTGGGAAATAAATTCTTCCATTAGACAAGAAGGGTAGGTCCCTAAACTTATAACAAAAGAACCAAACAACCGATCATTAGTTTGTACATTTGTACTTTGTGACTATTGATCATTTCGACGTGGCCGCTTCTTCGAAAAGTAATCAGCAGTTACGATGCACGGATATTTAGACATATTTTGCGCGCAATCGAAAGATTCGTTTGGAACTAGGGTTATAAAGTGTTGAGGCTATTATCCCGGATTGTGTGAACACATGTAGACAAATACGATCGCTTGTTGCCATGGATATAGCGTTTCCACGAACTTTAAGATCACGAGGAAACAAGATATATCACGAGTGTTAATGCGTATCTTATGAGAAATTTATTATCGAATATAAGATAAACTCGGGTATAATGGCCACATGGAAAAGATAGCCATAAGCTGTAATTTATTCAATAACTGCTAAAATAGTCCGCTTTTGTAGTCATTCTCAAAGATGATCGATACTTAGTAATTTGTGCGTACACTAATTACTAAAACATTATTTAGCAATTTATTAGAGAAGGTACAGCTTACGGCTATCTTTTTCGTATGATTATTATATTCGAGTTTTTACTCTATGCAAATACTGTTACACGAGAATCTCGACTATTTTTAAGGTGATCAGGCAGGTCCAGATTTGTCGCTCTTTGTCCCGAATTCGACGAAATTGTCCCGTTTATCTCAGGGGATTTCTAAAATACTTCTGACAAACAAAGACCTTCTCAAAAAAATTCACAGTTTATAGTAGCTCTGTTCCTTTTTCTTTATTTTAAGTAAAAATAATAACAGCTTTAGTAACAGTTTTTATTTTTACTGCAGGTCATCAAAATTATTTTTCATATTAATAAATTATTTCATACATACATATACATAAATATACATAATTTGCAATGATCTCCCTCCCTTTCCGCGTCTCACACATTTATGAAATGTCTCGGATTTGGATCTAGGAAATTTGGTCGTCTTATTATTTTTCTCACATTTTAATAACAACTTTTTCTCCATTCCAGGACTCTCTTCAAGAAGTCTCCGAGGATCAATGGGAAGGACATAGATCTGTACCTGCTGTACGTGGTCGTTACCGCTCATGGAGGATGGATAAAGGTGAGTCGGTTTTATCGGATATTTTAATGAGAGAGAAACACATACATGCAAATCAGTCGATCGCGCCTGATCGGTGTGGTTTACGTTGGTGATAAAGGAAACAAAAAAAAAGAGAGAGAAAGAGAGAGAGGTGTGTCGTGTGTATCTATCGGCTATAATATCAATAACACTTGTCACATTCAGTCGCGAAATATCGCCCAACAAGGTAAACAAAGAGTCGCGGTATTACAGAGGCGACAAAAAGTTCTCCGTTGTGTACAGCGCGGCGGCGGTACGTAATGTCGCTTATGATTAACAATCACGGAACACGGCGGATTCCGCCAATGAATAATTGCACGCGCGCGAAATCGCGGCTCGCCGTTTCGTTTTGTTTAACGTCGTGGCTTTGCGCGAAACGAACGAGAAAATGAATTTTCGTGAACCTCGCTTTTAATTAGCATCCGGTTGCAATCGATTTCACCGAAGCCCAGCCGACGTTACGTAAAAACGCCAGCAAACCGCCCGGAGGATAATTTGAGAACACACCGCGAAAGATAGAAATGGAATTTTAATTGTTTAGCTCTTTCGCTCGCGCGCGTTCCTTCGTTCTCTCTTTCTCTTTTTCTTTAATAACTCTTTGGCGCACAGAACATCCTTCAGAACGTTGTATCGCGCGTCTTGCACGCAGCTTTGGTGAATATAAAGAGTATAATACGCGAATATAAACGCGCTTGCGAATAGCCATTGCGTGAGGTAAATCCATCACGCTTCACGAAGCACACGCGCGCACACACACACACACACACACATCGTGACGATGTTGGGCGCGAATTTCCAAACGCCCGTTTAGTCTGGTCAGCTTCCCTGGAAGTATTTAAAAATATCGTTCACTAACGACTCATGCGTATCTGCCGTTCGTGAATCCCGCTCGTATCAACGAGCTCTCGATCGCGATTCGCGTTCCCGGACGCAACAAGTATTTTTACGTCGGGATTACGCAAGCAGAAGCGGTCGGTCGATAGGCGCGATTTCCGAAATGTCGATTCCCGCTCGCGTTTGAGTGCGTTTAAGCGGGCCGCGATAGCATAACCCATTATTAGTGCGACTAACTATAACTCACGCGAATTTGGCATCGGCGAACAGATAGCGCGGCGGCTCGATGGCCCAGATTCCGCGAAAGAGCGGCTCTAACGCCGCACCGGTTCTCTCACGCGGTACCTCTAAGCTCTCCTCCTCGTAGCCCGATAATCGCTGCGTCCTCGCGCTCCCGCTCGCGACGGGATTAAAGCGCTCGCTTTCACCTATCGCACGTTTAACGCGACAAATCGATACCCGGAACTGGAACACAACCAATGTCGTTGCGCTTGCCTGTCCGTTTCTTGCCGGAGCGGATGCAGAGGAGTGAGAAAGAGAGAGAGAGAGAGAGAGAGAGAGAGAGAGAGAGAGAGAGAAACACAAAAGCGCTTACGAAACAAATCCGTTACATTGTATCGCTGCAACCTTACCTCCGGAAATTCTAGATGTTCTGGATCTTTACTGACCGAATAGCGATTGAGAGACCGTCTCGAAATATGCGTTCTGTGTTGTGAAATTTTAAAGAAACAGAACGAACCCAGCAAACCACGAATATGCAGTTCTTCAATTCGCCAGATTCTTTAGATTTTTCCTTATCGCACTTTTATCCGCTTGCCGCAAGAAATGCAATAAAACCAATTTTTTCCAGACATTTAAGCGATATATCTTTTCATTTTGTCTCTTTCTTCAAAACAAAGGCCCAGGGAGGCTCAGATCTCGTTAAAAGCTCCAAAGGACGACGATTTTGTCGCGAAGCGACTTGCAACGGCGATAAATAACAAGTTTGCGATACCCCAATCCGTTTCTCTTCATTTTTTATAAAAATTATCTATGATAGACAAGAAAAACCAGCTAGGTGAGACAAACGAATGTATAATCCTTATACTCGCCTAAATTTGTTTGTAGATATTTCTAGAATGTTGCTGCTATAAATTCTATTATGTGCCATAGACAATTTTCTTGCAAATGCAAAAAACATATTTTAACCGTGACATTTTAAGTTTTACGTGGAAAACGTTTCTGTGGAGTGTTTCAAGACTAAAGTATTCATCGAGTCTTTCGACTTTATTACTACAAATTTCAAAAATTGCAGGATGCAAAAAAGAAAGAGAGAGAAAGAGAGTACGTAAAGCTTTATTCGCAACGAGTGCTGTTTCTCCCTCGAGTATTCCGTCGCGAAACTTGGCGATCGCGACGAATCACACGGAATGAGAGTGCCATCGACATGTCGGGGTTGCTGTAAAGTTCAGGAAAAAATGCTAGTTGCAGGATGCTCGTTCTCTCGCGTGTTTCTCCTCTACAAGTACGACCGGGAACACACACGAGAACATGAGCAGTAAAACTTAAGCAGTAAGCAAATCGACCAAGCAGAGTTGATGATTTTTCTTACGATTCAAGAATAATCGATTGTGTGTTCGATTAATTTTCTTACAGCTTACGTTTTTTTGTGTGCCCCTTTTCACGCGACTCTAATTTTTTTCCCGCACGAAACGTCGTACCGCGGACATTGTTGTCTTCACGCGGCGATAAACGACAGACAGCGGTAAACAGCAATAGATACGCGCGCACGCGACCCTCGCCGACGCGATTTCGCCGCGATGTTTACGAGCCATTGATTGTCGCCGCCTCGGCCGGTGGCGGCCGCCTGTCGACGAGAGGTGGTTGGCACTTTGCGTTCTCTTTCAGTCGCGTTCGGCGAAACCGCGCACGACCGCGCGATCAACGCGTGCATCGCTGCTCATCACGCTCCTCACGGTTCATCTCGTTTATCCTCGGAAACCGGCCGATTTTCGCACAACGCTCTCTCTCAAGACGGATGGAATTAACGACACGTGTCGCGCTTCTTCTCGCTGTCGTGACCATTCCAACACGGTGAACAAAATTTGTTCGCATCAACCCTACAATCGTCGCGCTACTTTTCGAACACGAGTCGACGCATGGGATCTTGAAAGATCCCAATATAAAAAATTATTTTATATCTTTCATGTTGAGAACTTAAATATTTTCTTTGTTTAATTAGATTTTTAGGTTCATATAAAATATAAGAAAAGACTATTTTGGATATAATATTCTCTTAAAGACTTTATGCGACGACTGTAGGGTTAAGCTAGAAGTATCAATACCTGGACACTCCAATAACATTGGCATCTAACTCAATACACTTTTACTGTTTTAATTTTTAAATACGAATGTTTGAACTTTCAAAGTAGGATAGCTGTATATATTCTATATATGTGTGTATATGTGTGTACGTATACATATATATTTTTTAATATTTTAAAAGATTAAATATTCGTATTTAAAGATCATAACAATAAATAAATTTTTATTGCTTAACAATTTCTTCTTTCAGTGCAGTGTTTAGCTTTGGTGCAAACATATTACAAAATTTCAAAGGAATTCTTTGAAAAATATATGCTCAATAAGATCATCGTTGATCTCACCTTGTCGTTTAGGGATTAGTGAACGAACTAATACGAAATTTTGGTCGAGAGACACAATTTCTTTTGTGACCGAAATTTGATTTCAAAAACTAGAAATTCCGTTTCCTTTGGCCAAAACGTTTTGGTTCGTTTATTGCAACCAAATCTTTTCTCCCGCGAATAACTTTAGTCAATGATCGATAATGTTATAACAATAATTATACGAACAATTGCAGACGTCATCCTTCATGTAAATACACTCGAGACAGTTCTTCATCTTTTACGTAAACCGCCATACAATGTTTTCAACAACCACGATGCGACGACCCTTCGTAACTCGTGCGAACACGTTATCAGTCATGAGTGCGTCTTGCCCGGTCGCGATGATATAATTCGCGTGGGAGTCTCTGCACCTGTCGCTCTGTCTCCTTCCCTCTCTTTTTTCTTCTTACGCCTACTTTCTCAACCCTCGGCCGCGAATTTTCTCGAAGAAAAGAACGCGGTGACGCCAATGATCAAGAAAACGACGTTGCGGGTAGTGGGCGGTAAGGGTTGCTGGTGAGGGCGAAAGTGGGAGACCGTCCTGAACGAGTCATCAGCACATGCTCGCCAGGGGTTAGTAACCCCTTCGGTTGCTAACCGGTACGATAATTATAGTATTCCTGTTGTATTGCGGTTCCCAGTTCGCGCGAATGCGAGCGTCGTAATAAGCTTGCAAACTACAAGTATAATCGATTTGACATTTGTCGACGTCGATCATCAAATTCCGGCGACACTATCGGACGTACCCCCTCCCGGAATCGCGATTCCACTCGAGGCTTTCGTCGACAAAGCCGGCTCACTCAGGCTGATAGTGTCATGATACTTCTGTGCGTGCGCTCGTCGATCTCCCTCCCCCGCGTCTCGATATCGCGAGATAGACGCAGCGCGAATGCCTAGATGAAAACATTATGACGACGCGGACGCAGCGTGAGGTCAAGGTCGCCTGCGGAGGTGCTCACTAGGTGCACACTAGGTGGGGGAGATAGATCATGAGGCAAAGGTGGAGGAGAGAAAGAGCAAAAGAGGGAAGCTTGGGAGGGAGGAGAGACAGGCGCGAAGGAAAAGGAGAAGGGAGAGAGGCAAACAAGGTAGAGAAAGAGAGAACGAAGGGGAAAGAGAATACCGTGAGAGGCGGAGGACAAGCAGGAGGAGGAGGAGGAGGAGGAGGAGGAGGAGGAGGAGACGGTGGTGGTGGATGGTGGAGGTGGTGCGAAGGCTTCCCCTCAACAAGTGTGATCGAGTCCGAAGCTCGCTAAACTATATAACCTGCAAGCGGCCCGCCGCCGCGGTCAGATTGCTGTGCTTGCGGAGCGCGCGGATCGTTTCCGTTTCCATCATCCGTCGCGTAACAGCTGTCCATCCCTCGACTCGCGTGACGGATTAGTCGCACGAAGTCACGACGTTTCACCGAAAAACACACCAAGTGACGCGCAGAAGAGAGACAGAGAAAGGCAGAGGGACTGTCATGTAAGCCGATTTGCC